GACCGATGCCACTTATCAAAGCTAGATAAGTGAGAAAAAGAAGGACACCATCCCACACACAAGATCCGAAGGTTGGCAATTCCGTAATATGCATGAGGAGCGCATCCAACCCGAGCGCAGAATGGGGACTAGAAATTGACGAAATTTGAATTAAACTACTCATCCAAAGATTGCGCGAGGAGGGGTGAGGGAAGCGCGCATACATCATAAGTAGAAAATTCGAAATGATTTGCAAGAAGATCGAAAATGGTCGTAACAAGATCGGCCAAGGTTGAAATCAAAATTTATACAGAGGGTTAGAGAAATGCATCATCCCACACACACATCTCTCTCTCTCTTTCTCTCCACGCTACATCACCTCCGATGCGGGCAGTCCGTACCCTCGCACCCACACCAAGTCGTCACCCCACTTAGTCTAAGTACGCAAGCCAAGTTCGCCCGTGCGTTACAGTCCGTCGTGACCCACACATCAACCTCGCCTACCCGGCACCAGCTCGTYGGGTCGCCCGACTCACTTCTGCTCATTTTCTCACTTACTTGTTAGCCGATCCTCACTGACCACGCTAACTTTCAAATACTTAGAGAGAAAACTAATGGCGCTTGCGAAATTTATAGCGTGCATGCTTGCGCGATGAGCCCGGGATTATGCCTGAGTGAGGGGAAGGGGAAGAGAAGGAAGTGCCTACGTTTGCATGGCCAAGCCGCGGCGTGGGGGACGCAACCACACTCCACGCATCGATCTGGTCATGCAGTCGCTCAGGCCAATTAGAGTGGAGGACGAGGTATGCACTATAGAGGGGAAGAAGGCGAAGAAACACGAGAGAATCAAGAAGAAGGGGTACAGTTACAATCGCGGCCGCCAAAAATTACAGTTACATGCACGGTTAAGGGCGTGATACAGTCAGAGCCTAGTTCCCACTGCGGTGAGAGGTGCGCGAGCAAGAAGCGCGGCACAACAAAATTTCAGAGCACCTAAATTCCTAATAGTCTAAATCCTGTTTGCAAAAGAAATTCCGAAAAGCAATTTCAAGAGCCCGTCATCCGTTGTAAATTTGGAAACGACATTCCCGTGTGCAAATTGCGGCAAAATTCCCATCTCCCACAGCAGAATAAGAAAAAAGTTATGGCAACTCTTATTTATCACGCTGACTAAGGCTCGGTCACTCAATCGTCGTCGCAGGACTTTCGCGGCCTTGGTCCCGACAACAAAAAAAGAAAGAAGCAAGGGTATCCATGCACCTTGTCCGACCAACCCCTATCTATGCATTCGACCCGACCAACCAGTTCCCAACCCCCGAAGCCACTTCGCGCAGAAAGTCGTGCGATTACAGAAAATAGTTCGTCACATATGTGACGCCCAGGGGGTTCCAATCTTGAGCAAGCTCCTGCTTGCTCTCTCATCAGGTGTCGATCGGCAATCCAAGGATCGACACAGAGCTTGCACGTGCCACCTACCTTAAGATCCGAGTGTGGAAGTCATCCATCGTGGCATTCGTGTGCTCCATTCTAAATGTTACCCGGGAAAGGTAGTCTGATCACGGGCGGAGGAGGTGGTGGATGGACTTGGGGAAGGGGAGGCATGAAGCGACGGATTTCTCGATCGCCGGTGGGGAGTTGGGTGTAATGAGTCGTGCGGTGGATGAGGGGAAAACGTGGGTGCCGACGTTGGTGTGGAAGGGAGGCGAGGTAATCGGGATAGAGAGTGCAGAGGGTACGGTGGATAGCAGCGCGGAAATCGTCATACTCTTCGCACGCTGGGATCATGCCTGCGATGATACAATACAACTCTATATTATTGAATTCCTGTCAATCTACGCTAAAGAGAAGTACGTGGAGGGGGAAGAGGTGGCGAGCGAGCGAGTAGTAGCGTGCATGAAGATAGTGATCACTGATCAGTGATCAGAGGGCGTGTGGAGTAGAGATCGTGGAAGAGGGAACGTGGGAAGGGGTGTCATCCGTCGGGGAATGGGGGTCGGCCTATGAGCTGTTGAAGAGTGAGGAAGTCACGGGGACGACGGGATAATGACCGGGGACGAAGCCCGAGCGCCCACATCTCGATGTAGGCGAAGGCTGGGTCGGGGAGAGGATTGGGCCAAGGATTCACTCCTTCGACGACGCCGGTTTCCCGATCTCTCCGTCGTGGTGCCTCCATTTCTCTCGGCCTCTTCTTGTGGCAATTCCGGATTGAGAGCCGGATCGCTACACGACCCCCAAGGTCGCGGATCCTGCGGCCTAGGCCGCGGTCGAGTTTTTGTGCGGCCGCGCCAGACTCACGCAAGGGCACGGGCGAAAAATCGGCGCGCGGCCTCGGCCTGCGCACGTCCTCCTCTATAAAACTGCGCAATAAAAAATAAAAAATAATATTTTTTTGGGGGGGTGGTTTTTGCTGAGTACCAAAATTAATTAAAAAATAAAAATAAAAACATTCGTTGATTGATTGATTGATTGATTAATTGATTAACTGATTGGTTGATTGATTGATTGATTGGTTGATTGATTGATTGATTGATTGATAGATTGGTTGATTGATGGATTGATTGATTGATTGATTGATTGATTGATTGATTGGTGGGGGAGGGGTCCTCCCTCCCCTCCCCTGCACGCGCGCACACACACACACACACACACACACACACACCCACCCCTCTCTCTCTCTCTCTCTCTCTCTCTCTCTCTCTCTCTCGCTCGTGCGCACGCGCGCATGCTCTTGGACTCTCCGCGCAGCTCTTCCCACACACACACACACACACACACACACACACGCGCATATACAGGGCTTGAGCCAGACTCAGGAGGAGATCGACATTTCCGGCTGGGCGAGAAGAAACCCCTTTCAAAGTAAGTCGTGAAGGACGTAAGAAGCATAGGCCCCACATTCTGCTTCACGGAACAGATCGCCGGATCGGTATAACCTACTTTTTTTTTTTCTTTTTTTTTTTGATTTTATTATTATTTTTTTTATTATTATTATTTTTTTATTATTTTTTTTTTTTTCTTTGTTTGTCTTATTCTACTTCTTATTTCTTCCATCCTGTTTTTATGCGCCTTCCCGCGGACCCACCCGTCCGTCCCTTCCTAACTTGGGGCTTGAACCCAAGAGCCTCCCCATCTTTACCAATCGCTGTAAGGGGATCCGCTCTGTATTACATATGGGACGTAACCATTGGAACACGACCACCGCAAGGTCACTTTTTCGGTAGGAACCCAGGTTTTTTCCGATAAGTGTAGGTAGACGAATACAGAACCAGATTCCATTAGATAGTGACGAACCTCAGCTTCTCGGATTCCATCGAAAAAATAGGGGGAACCGCGCGGGATTGCCCATGTTGTGCTCTCTTCTCTTTTCTTCTCTCCTACCGTTTTCCCTTTTCTTTTCTGTTGTTTTCATATATATGTATACTCCTGCCATTCATAGCATGCGCATTGTTAGCCTGTCCTATAATATACGATTGACTGTATTTCTTCTACGGAGCGGAGCTTGCGTGGCAAGGTGACTGTTCGGCTATGGCGGACTGGGACTTTACGACCGGAGCGGAGGAGGACCTTCCGATAACGTCAGAACCCGAGGAGGATTTCACGGCGGAAGAAGCGGTACACGGTCCTCTATCTCCCTACTCGTATGGTTGTTTGGGGATTGGCTGTCTGTGTCTGTCTGTGCAGTGGATGTGCTTTTTGCAAGAACATAACCCCTCTGATGAGCCGGTTGAGGGGCAACGGCGAAAAAGCTTTTAGGGGAGCCACACCCCTCCTGCGGCGCTGAGCATCCCATGAAGTGCAAACCGAGCCCCCGCCTGCTTTCTCCCAGACGTTCTGCCATATCGGACTTCGCTGCCCACCAGCTTCACTTGGCTTCTCTAACTTCTATCGAAGTTACTCTTAGTTCACTCTTTAGTGGTTCTTTGTAATCAAGACTCTAGATGACTGGATACCCTGTTGGTTGCAATCGACTATTTGGCTTTATCTTCCTCGTTTTATACTGCCAGGATTTGACGTGCTCCCGCATCTTTACTTTCTCTCCCTCTGACTCTCTCAGTCTTTGCTCACTATTGGCTTGTTGGAATGACATGTAGCCTCGGTCATTAACTGTCTTCTTCTCTTTCTTTCACATCCTATATATATATATGTATATATACATATATATATATCGTCACATATATATATATGTAGATTTGTATACTCTGCCTACTCTACTATTCGGGTTTGGATTTGTGTGCATGATCTTTTATGAATAATAAGTATAATCTTTTCTATTAATGTGTATTCGATACCTATGGATGATACCGCTTCGTCATTCTTGCATTGTTGAGGGTTATCTGGCTTAGTGGTTGTTGGACACGGTATGATTGGGACATGATCGTACCTGGCGTATCACCGTAATGGTGGAGTGCATGACGAAGTTCGTCGTGGGATCATATCCAAACCCACACATGGAGGTTTTTTCCTCTAGCTAGTGCCGAAAGGTTGACTCCCTTGGCTACGCCTTGGAGGGGGATCAGACCAATGGTCGATTACTGTAGTAATTCCACCTGGTTGCCTCGATAAATCCACTCTATATGCGAATGAGATGACGTACTGACCATGATGTTTTTTTGCTCTTGACGGTTGCATCTGTGGGGTAGGAATTGTTATATGGATTGGAAATGAGTTATGCCTCTCTGCTTGCTCTCTTTCCTCTTTTTCCTCTCCTTCCTTTTTCCCCTTTGTCCCTTTCCCTATCCCTTTGTATATCCCATAGGCTAAATCCTGACTAGGAACCCCAACATGACAAGGATCCGGCAGGCGGTTGGTGGACGGAGACCATCGATAGGAATCCCTTTCTCGCGGATCTGGGTCCATACTCTAAACCGACCCAATCCCTCCTTAACGTTATCCACCCTTCGCTAACGACTATGGTCGGCCAAAAGGTTACAGAAGGACTGTTTCGCCTCATCACCGAGACCCTTCTTTTCAATGAGTGGGCGGATCTAAGCTTGGACCTATGAACGTGAGAGACACCGTCTGGACCTCATCCTTAATGGACATATTACTAAGGCGGAGGAGAAAAAGAGAAGTGTGATGAAGGAACGGGATGGGCTGGCCGAGAGAACCGCGAAACTTGAGGAAACTCTGAAAAGGATCTGGGATGTTGAGAGGAGTTCGACGATGGAGGACAATAGGGTGGATAGGGATGGCTATGACCCAGCACTCATGGGAATCATGGGGGATGAGGAGGAAGAGCTGAGACAGCTGCTGGACAACCAGCCCCCACTGCCTCCTCCACCAGGAGGTGAAGGGATGGACGGTGGACAAAACAGGAACAATGGTTTTGTCCCTAAAGCTTCAGCCCAATGGGTAGAGGAAAAAGCTAGACGACGACAGGATGGGGTCTGGGTGCAGGGTGGCTTCAATCATCTGGCCCCAATCAACATCAAGGGCTGGAAGTTCCTCGCTGATCTTTCGAAGAGCAAGGTTGAGGAGTGTCGAAGGAAAACCCTGGCCGGAGTTTTGGACTATGCTAACAACACCCCGCACTTTGGCGGAAAGCTTACCTTCCCTACGCTGAGTGAACTGGACCCCACTAAGCGCGTCTACGCTAACCCTGTGGTCATGCAGAAGATGATTACTTCGTTCCTCACCCTTGATATCATGAATCTACGCAAAGTTTGGAACGTGGGGCGTCCGTACCTAAAGTGTAGATGTGGGTTTAGGAATGTTCGTACATGTAATGGTGGTCCGATCTGGTTCGACCATGCGATCTGGTTCCTCTTGGCGAAGCATGAGATTGTGAAACCAGAAGCTGGCTCAAACCGGGTTAGGATCGCCTTCCTCCTCCATCACCTGAGGAATTCCTGGAGGGAGCTTGCCAAAGCCTCCGTCACATTCATATGGATGCGCGAGGTGATGCTGACAGTGCTACGTAATCTCGAACGCAATCCGGAGCTGATGACTGCGGATGCCCTCACCGGGAGTACGTTCAAAACCCATGCCTGCCCAAAAATCCTGGCCAACCTATCCTCCCCCCTCGGATCACCCCGGGAATTCCTGCTCCGGAACTTCCGAACCCCAAGAAGAGGAAGAATAGATCCCCCATGGGGGCTAGGAACAAAAGGGTCAACTCGGCATCTCCCCAACATCAGATGTTGCTGAATTCGTTCAGAATCGCAGCATTTCCTGTCGGTGCCTCTTCTTCAAGCCCCGCTAGCACGGCCAGCAGTCGGCGATCTGCGATCGTATCTGATGGCCACGTAAGCGGCGCCACGAGAACGAGCGGCTTGTCTAGGAAGCGCAAGTACCAGCCCTGAGCAGCGCAACGAACAACTTGTGTAGTTTAGGGATATCTATATATATATACACATACATATATATATGTGAGGGTATATATACATATATATACAGGGTTACCTGACCGAACGTTCGGGGGCCCCTTGGCTGACCCCTGAACGTTCGAGCGTTCGGGGTCCCGTTCGGGGGCCGAACACCTCCAGGTTCGGCCCCCGCCAAAAAACATTTCGAGGCCTAAAAATACGTTTTTTTTTCTCAATTTGTTTTTGTAAGTTCTCTATGATGTAACCTACACGCCAAAGATGGGGGTGTAAAAACGTGTTTGCCCACTCACTTCTTTGTTTTTTTCACTTTTAACTTTTTGTTTTCACTTTACTTGCCAAAAAATAATTAAAAATCGGCAAAGATGGCGGTGTCGAAAAGGTGCTGGCACACTCACTCATTTTAATTCTCTTTTTATTTTTTCTTATTTTTATCATAGTGTTTATTTTCTGTATTTGATTTTTAATTCAAATTTGGTAAAGAATTTGGATGTAGTGCCCAGGCAAATGTTGTTTAGTTTATTTTTCTCCATAACATATTTTTATTTTGCAATGTTTTGAAAACTTGTGTGTTTTTTTTTTTTTTTTTTTTTTGGTCCGCGTTCGGCCCGAACGGCCGAACGCCTTCCGAAGGGGTCCCGTACGTTCGGGCGTTCGGGTTCGGGCGTTCGGCCCGTCCCGAAAGCCGGCAACCCTATATATATATGTATATATATATATATATATCGTCACAAACAGAACTGCCCAGTAAAACCGTAGGCAGAGAGAGAGAAGAGGACAACAAACGAGGGGCTGTGAAAAACTGTTTCGTCGGAGTTTCACCGACTCATATATATATATATATATATATATATATATATGTATATATATATGCATATATGTATATATGTTGGTCTACACAAGCTCATGCAAGATCTCTCTCTCTCTCTCTCTCTCTCTCTCTCTCTCTCTCTCTCTTTCTCTCTCTCTCTCTCTCTCTCTCTCTCTCTCTCTTTCTCTCTCTCTCCTTCTCCCCCTCCCTCTCTCTCTCTCTCTCCCTCTCTCCCTTCCTCCTCCTTCCTCTCTCCTCTTCTCTCCTCTTCTCTCCTCTTCTCCCAAACAGATGGCGAATCTTCTGGAGTCCTCTAAAGACGACATTTGGGAGCATACTCACAGACTCACTGCATCTGAGAGGGAGTTGGAAAATCTCTATGAAGTTCTTATCGATAGAAGCAACATGATCGTCATTACCATCCTATGGGAAGAGGAGGAAGAGGTAGTAGGGTTTTCACAATTGGACCTCAACCCACGTATATGGGCTGGGCATGTCTTGTTTTGTGAAACTTCAGCATATGCATAGGGCGGTCCTCTTTGCAGACGTAGATGCCTGGAGCCAGCATAGGATCTCTCAAAATAAAAAGATTAAAGAATTGATTACCCAGAACGTCCGATTAAGGAGGTCTCTTCTTGCCTTCACCCTCTCGACGCTCGCCCTATGTTATGCTGAAACTTTGTTGATCATAAGCATTTAGGGTCTAATGGCAGGCATACGTGGCTGCAGGTCTGAGAGCCGGATACAGCGGGAGACACTGCGGATCTGATACTAGGACAACTCCCTGTTGCCCCTCTTCAAGTCCCAATGGCGCTGGAACTGGGCAGGCGGATTCCGGAGATACTTCGTGTAGAGTATGATCCGGACATCTTCCTACCTTGGCCTCCTGCTGGACCTACTGTGGTCAGGATTGTCCGACCAAACATATGGGAGGCTCAGCGGAGTTCTGCGCAACCAGCTATAGCCCTGGACAACCTCGCACTTGCCGACATCTTAACTGCACAACCACAGATTACGACTATCGTCGGCATCGTGCTTGCGGTGGAATACAAGGGAGTGATCATCGGGGAGATTCGTAGCTTTGGTACTAGAACGAAGGAGGGGAGAATCGGTTGTGATACTAGATTAAGGGGGGTCTCTGGTGATGACGCCTTCCCAGGTAAGCAGACAGGGGTACTCTGGCCAGCAATGAAGACTGCTATGGTGGAGATAGCCTCCTCCGTGGTTACTACGCTGGACTTTGGTGATGATACGGGGGAAGCGAGTTTCTATGGATTTTCGGCGGACTTTTCGGACCGGATTCGGACTATTGTGGAACTATTTCCAGAGTGGGTGGTATTCTGTTTGCCAAACCAAGACACTGTGACACTCGCTACGAAACTCCAGGGGGTGCCGGTACGGAGACATCCACCAATGCTATCGATATGCCTATTGCAGCAGGGGAGGATGGAGCAAGGAACTTTGCCAGCAACGCAGCCTTCTGCGGAAGAGGTGCCTAGCTAGTTGTTGTCTCCCTAATTAGGACTGCTACCGGTTTGCACCATTAATGATGATCGGCTCCCCTGCCACTAGTGCGACCCCCTCCCCCTGTCTCTTATACACATCTAGATGTGTATAAGAGACCAACGCAGCCTTCTGCGGAAGAGGTGCCTAGCTAGTTGTTGTCTCCCTAACTAGGACTGCTTCCTGTTTGCACTATTAAGGCTGATCTGCTCCCCTGCCACTAGTGTGACCCCCTCCACGGCTCCGTTCCTCTTTTTTTTTTTTTTTTTTTTTTTTTTTTTTTTTTTTTTTTTTTTTTTTTTTTTTTTTTTTCGGTTGTTTCCCCCATAGCTATCTCTTTCCCTACCTTGTCCTCTCCTCTTTCTACCAACCCTCTCTTTCCCTTGCACAATATAAAGTAGATATGGATATATCAACAGTGAGGGTGCCTTGACCTATCAGCGATACTATTTTGTATGGCTATGTGTTGGTAGGAGTGCGGGGGCCGCGTCGGTATGAGTCTCTCTGGTAGGAGGAAATGGTGCAGACTAGACGAGGGACCTCGGAGGACGTTTGTACATATGAGATATGTCAATAGACTAATGGAGGCAGTCTCGGTTAAGTCAATAATCATCTTCCTGATGACGGTGGCGGTTGGCCAGCATTTTGCTCATTGGATGGAGACCATGACCTTGGGCTGGAGCTATAATGACCCAGTCTCTAAGGCACTATACAAACCTGCGGGTTTTTTTCGGGAATTCGACTTGAGTAACTGGCAGAGGAACAAAGGTAACTGTGCCTGTAACAATAAGTACGCCAGATTCACTGAATCAACTACGGAGGGACTATTGGAGGAAGGGAGGATTGGGAGTCTCTCAGGCCAGCATGTCATCACTACGGATTACTTCATTTCTCACCTCCCGCAGCTCAGACTCATCCTGGCATATGGTCTGAACCATATTCTCACCGCAGATCTGGATGTTGAAGCTGCAGTCGGGGAAATCTTACGTGTGCTTGATGACACGATGACACTGTACAGTAGGGAGTATGAGTTAGCAGAGGAGGAGATGAGCAAGGTTACGAGTAGAATGAGACGACACTGTTTTGGTAAATTTGTAGAATATAAACGGGGGCATAATAACGCTGATGCTATGGACATTAACGAACACTATCTGAGGCATGAGATTGATTACATCACTAAGTTCTTTTTCATTGCTTGTATGGATAAGGCATCCAGCACCCCGGTCATCATATGTAAAGATCTTGCCAGGCAGTTAGCATTCGAAAGGCTGTCGGGACCAGATTTTGAACTCCTGGAACCTGACTCAAACGAGATGATCCAGATCATGCGTAAGGATAATTTTCTGAAGTACCCAATGGGACCTGAGAAAATCCCGTACCTGATGGCTAACTATTAGAGCCATAAGAAAACACACAGATGAATCACAAATGCTAACCAATGCATGTTTTCCACCATTGCTGAAATCTGTGTTAATGCCCTTGGTCTAATTAGTACTGAAATGCAGAAGTTTTGTGTGGAAAAATCTCGCGTACTGAGAAGCTTGCACGACATCAACGCGAACCTTTGGTGGCCGATTGATTCCATCAACGAATATTGCCTGAACCTACCAGTTGCGGTTTTTTCGTTCTTCTCAGCAGATATTAGCTGATGCTTTGAAACTATCCCCACGGGTAATTCAATACATGGGTTGATCTCTGCGCTCTCCTTCTCAATCAAGAAGGGCTTTGCTCACAGGTTGAGAACTGAAGGTGATAAATGCATTAAGGTCTATACCCTGGAGAACGACAAAACAAGGGTTGGATGGACGAAGTTTGTCCACACAGAACCAAACGAAAGGCTGATTGACCCCAACCAACTCATTGAAATGAATCAATGGCTGACGGATATAAATTACATCCAGTTCGGAGGGAAGGTCTGGAGACAAAAGAATGGTATTCCCATGGGATTACCTTGCTCCCCGATTTGGTGTAACTTATATTTCTTCCGGTATGAGTACGGCTGTATGATGGGATTGATCGGTACCGGGAACAAGCACTTGGTCGGATTGTTCTCCTAAACTTTCAGATATATGGATGACCTGAATGCCCTTAATATTTTTAATAATACTTGCATCCGGGATTTTCTCTCAAAAGACCGCCCTCACGATGACTATGATCCATTGTGGCGATACCGGTCGGATTTCATCGAGATCAAGGAGCAGAGCATTGGGGATAAGAAAGGTACATTCCTAAACCTCAGACTTACGGTGAACACAACGGATGGGGAGTACAGTACTGAAAAATTTGATAAGGTAGAAGAAATGGGTCTGCAAGTCAATCGGTATATCAGGTTTAGATCGAACAGACCTACTAAATGATCTTTGTCCATCATCGTGGGGCTTACGGCCTCCGTCCTCATTATCACCTGTCTCTTATACACATCTAGATGTGTATAAGAGACAGGTCGGTATATCAGGTTTAGATCGAACAGACCTACTAAATGATCTTTGTCCATCATCGTGGGGCTTACGGCCTCCGTCCTCATTATCACATCCAACCTCCAAAAAGCTGCAGTAGACATTGCAAGATTTGTGAGCAAAACGTGTCACAATGGTTTCAACAGTAGGAGATGCTGGGGGATGGTTAGAAGGGTCCTCAGAAACCCGGACGGATTTCAACCTTTCAGATGTTCAACCAAGGATGTGCATGATATCCTCAGAAAGTCCTCCGGGATGATACACTAACTTTGCGATGCTATCTGAGTGGGTCGTGTGTGAATGTGTGATGTGACCCCGGGCTCTCTGGAAATGGAGGGTCCTAGCTATGAAACAACCTCGGCGGCGGCCATCCGCGGCCGAATCCGCGGACGCGGCCAGTCCGCGGACCCCGCGGCCACGCGGCTTTGAAGCCATGTGGCGGCCGCGCGGGAGCGACTTTCAAAAAACAGGAGACGCCATGTGGCAGCGCATCCCCGGCCCCACCCCCCCACACAAAAAAAAAAAAGAAAAAGATCAACTTTTGGATGGGGGGGTATGGGCGAAATCGAAAGAAATTGAACAAAAAATTAAAAAACACGTTTTTTGTTTTTTTGTTTTTCCGTTGATTGATTGATTGATTGGTTGATTGGTGGGGGCGGGGTCGCCTCGCCCCGCCTTTGATTGATTGATTGATTGATTGATTGATTGACTGGTGGGGGAGACCCCCGCGATTGATTGATTGATTGATTTATTTATTTTTTTGTTCAATTTTGTTGTTCTTTTTTTTTTTGTTGATTGATTGATTGATTGATTGGTTGGTGGGGGGAGGGTCGCCCCACCCCCGCGACCACGGGTGCACACACACACACACACACCACCTGTCCCGCACGCGGCGCAGCGGGGGCAGCGTGCCGGCGCAGCGGGGGCAGCGCACACATAAACACACACACACACACACCTCTCTCTCTCTCGTGCGCGCGCCCAGCTCCCGCGCAGCCCCCTGCAGCTCCCCGCTGCTCCTGCGCACGCGCGCACACACACACACACACACACACACACACCTCTCTCTCTCTCTCTCTC